AGCAGGCGCAGGGAGAAGCGCAAGTGAGGGGAGGAGGAATCGGGGAGGAGGTGACGTGGCAGGGGAGGGTGGATCGGGATTCGGGCGGGACACAGCGGATAGGGGGGAGGAAGCAAAGCGGGGGGGGTTGGCAGATGAGGGGGGGGGGGGGGGGGGGGGGAAGAGGGGTTGGGAAAAAGGGGAGCCGAAGGGGAAGGGGGCACTAACGTGACGGAAGTCGGCCAGTCGCGTGTCAATGATCCCTTTGCAGGTTCCGCCCACAATTCAGACACTTCAGCGGGCCGTTCGTTGGTAGGAGATGGGCGACGGGCGGCAAGTCAGCATCACCAGCCTGTAGGATGACTGTAGCAGCTGGAGTAGCGCGGGCGTAGAGAAAGGCGCGAGCTTGGATGGCGACTGTACCTGGTCGCTTGATGGCTCAGATGCAGCTGCAAGAGCGAACTTGGAGATGGCATCCACCGTGGTAGGGGGAGGGAGGGAGGAGCAGAGGTTCGAAAACCTGCTCCGATACCAATGTGACGCACGTGAAGTGGCACGTGCGGAGACGATGATGAGAGAGAGAGAGAAGAGGAATGGACACACACGAAAAGCAGCAGCTGAGTGAAGGTCCAGTCTGGCTCCATGAACGAACGAACACCTGAATGAATGAACCTCCCGCCCTGGTCCTAGGCCGAAGTGATATACTGGCCTAGGTCCAGGAACGGGACAACCTGGTACTGGACCAGGGTCAGGCCGACGGCCTGAAACTGGTCCGGCCTCACTGTCGGGCCGTAGGGGTACTGCTACAGTTGGGGAGGTCGTGGATCGGCGCGCTTAGGTACATGTTGGGGCAGAACGTGAGGGGGTGTCCGTGAAGCATGTCCACGTCCGCAGTTCGGCCCAACAGTCACATCAAAGGACATGAAGGGTTCCTGGTACCGTTCCCGGTACGACCACCCCAGACTCCACCCACCCCCAATGACGATGGCAACAACACACCCTTTCACCACGGTGTCGCACGAGTCCCCCTACCGTGGCCCAAAGTTGCCCTCTACTGGACGTTGGTGGTTCCTATGCTCCACGGGCGGTCACTCGGACGGACCACCACTTTCCATTTTGGGACGGTTGGCGGGCACATTTCCTATTACGGGAAAAGTTTTCAAGATTTTGCAGCTAAACTCCCTCGGCGGTGAGGTCCCCACAGAAGGCTTCCCAACCTTTCCAAAAAAAAAAAAACTCTTCCAACAACCATTCCGCGCAAACTCTTTTCCAAAGGAATTCCTGCGGGGTCTGGGCCTAAGTCTGTGGGGCACAAGCCTCAGTGATTGAAGGGAAGGGAATTCTTCAGTGTTCGCAGCCCGTCAGGGTCGCGTTTTCCCCCCCTGAGACATTTTCGTCGTCGTTCGTTATACCGGTCGTTCATTCAGGCCCATTGGTCGTTCAAAGGCTGGTAAAATGAAAGGCACTGGCATTTAGGGGGGCGCGGGCGCAGTTCAAGCAAATGCAGGACCGGTATTTGCCCGTGGCATTTTCCTGGAACCGGTAGGTGGCCGTGGTCTAAAATATTTTGAAACGGCGTGGGGGCCGCAGGTCCTTGAAATTCAAATATGAAACGGGGTGGACCCAGGCCTACAGCCTCAAGCCCAGCCTCATGCCCAGCCCACCCACTTGGGCCCAATGGGCCAGAATGATTTTGTCTGAATCTGGAAGCAGTTCTGAGCCAGATTCAGAAACAGAGATGTTCTCTCTCTCTCTCTCTCTCTCTCTCTCTCTCACACACACACACACACACACACACAGGTAAGTCAATATGCAGGCAAAATCCCCCGAAGGGACAAAAAGTAGAAACTGCTGTGGAGACCCAAATTCTTCAATGAACTTCCCCCAAGAACCCCAGTGGAGAGAGAAGAAAACTCTGGAACCACACTGTGTTTCCTACGTGATTTCGAGAGCAGTGGGGCAAGGCCCTGTGTGAGAGAGGGCGCTAGAGAGAGGGGAACATTCCATAAGCCAAAGGCTCAAACGCGTGCTCGGTAGTCAACGTTCGGCATGTATCTCGAATTCAACATGGAAACCCACACATTACATTTCGACTGATCCACCATTGCGAATGCAACGTGACGTGACCACAATCATTTCCACATACATTTGGAATGCTGTGCAGTAGGCCCACTATCCACAGACAGGGTGGGAGCATGACCATCCAGATCTCCAGACATCCAGACCTCCGCAAGCAGGCTCCTCAAAGGATTTGGAGGCATGCACGTCCAGGCAAACTGCCTCGTGAGCTCCGCCGCTGGCCATTTTGCGTCTTTCCCAAGCTCCAGGTAGGGGTGAAGTGAAGCTGCGAAAAGACGACAGGATCTCGGGCCGCGGTGGATTTCTTGCAGGAATGAGGGACAGAGAGGAACGATCAAGGACGAGTGAATGGCACTGTCCATTCCGAACGACAGACTTTCAGATGGAACCTTTATCAGAAAGGGCTTGGGCTTAGAGAGGAAAAGGGGACGGAAGTCGCGATCTACTCGAGGACATGACAGACGTCCTGGTGGGGTTTCCTTCGGAAAGAAGATGAGAGAGACAGAGAAAACGGCCGGGATGTTGGGGCATAAGTTTGGACTTGTGGCACGGTGGAGTGCATCTGCCAGTCTACCCCGTTCGCTTTCTCTGAGTGCGTGTTGCAGTGGGTGCGCGGGAGAGAGGGGGGGTGGGAAGAGGGAGGACGAGGCCCCCTTCCTCTTTGTATTGTGTCTGTGTGTGAGAGAGAGAGAGGGGGGGAGGAGGCGGAAGGAGGCGGGTGGGCCCTCTCTCTCGCTCTGTGTGTGTGTGTGTGTGTGTGTGTGTGTGTGTGAGTGAGTGTGACATTGGCGCGCACGGGCGTCAGAGGGGGTGAGTGAGTACGACAGATACAGAACGGGGAGAGGTTGGGTGTAGACCATGTGGATTTCGAAGCGCGGCGCATCAATTTTGACGAGTCACGACGAGCCGCCCGCCCCCAAGGACTCTCTCTCCTTCACTTCCATCCCCCCAAAATGCGAGCGCGCTCATTTGAGAGAATGTGTGAGAGAGAGGCTGCCCCCACTGTTGGTGTGTGTGTGTGTGTGTGTGTGTGTGTGTGTGTGTGTGTGTGAGAGAGAGAGAGAGAGAGAGAGAGAGAGAGCGAGCGAGAGAGAGAGAGAGAATGAAGGGGACACACAATACATTGTTTATAATGGTGGAAGATTATGCCCATACTATCATCTCCCTTGTTGGGCCAGGCATACACAGTCCATCTCAGGCGTGACTTCCTCAGTCTCCATGAGAATCTCTGTTTTTTCCCCCCTTGCTGTTTAGGACGGGCGTCAGCCAGGACCAGAACGCACTAATCTGAGTACTCTGTTTATCGACTAGTATCTAGGTTTACCAGACAGCCTGATTGGCTGAATATTACTGAATGGTTCAAAATCGCTTTGAACGGAACGCTTCTGCAGCAATTCGTCCGACAGTATGCTCACCGATCATTGCGACCCCACATTACTTTCCTTTCGACAAAAGCCCTCTCACCCCGCCCGCGCCCCCGCCCCCGCCCCCGCCCCCCTAAAAAAGCGCTCTGAAGCGAACAAACGACGAGATCCCACTCGGATTTTTTGCTTCTGACCAGAAGATCAACAGCCAGAAAGGAAACATTAGCGTAGACTGGACCCCAGCCCCCGCCCCTGTCTCTTATACACATCTAGATGTGTATAAGAGACAGACTTTGAGTCTGACGTGGAAGGCCTTAACCGAGTGGCTCTTTCC